AGGCCGCCACAGGAGCCCCCCGCGGAGACCGGAGGTTATGGAAGACGGAAACGGACTCGGCGGCCGTAACGGGTTGTGTAGGTGGGCCGAGTCGAGTTGTTGTTGGTCTGGCGGTTGCCTCTTCTGACGGCTAGGGCACTTCCCTGGTCGGCTGAAGGGGTGCTAGTGCTGGAGGGTGTGATGCTGGTTGATTCGGAGCCCCCCGCGGAGTCCACTGTAGTGGGCGGTGGCGGAGATGAGCTCGATGGAGGCTTGCTAGCTGGATCCGGGCCTGGCACAGCTTCGTCTTGGATGGTGAAGGCAGGCTTTACTCGGTCGATGGACACCCGGCGCTCTGCGTTGTTCACCAGGATGGTGACGGTCTTGTCGTCGCGCTGAGCGACCGGGTGCGGGCCGGTGTATGGCTGCTGGAGGCGCTTGCGCACGGCGTCGTCCCGGAGAAAGACGTGGCTGCAGGAGTCCAGATCCTGGAACACGAACTGGTGTGGTTTGGCGTGGCTGGATCCGGGAACTGGGCGCAGCTCGGCCATTTTCCTTCGCAGTCGAACGACGAGGTCGCTGACGTCTTCGTAACGCTCGGGCGAGTTGGATGGGGCGATCATTTCGCCTGGTAGGCGCAGGGGTTGGCCGTAGACTAGTTCCGCGGACGATGCGTTAAGGTCTGGGCGGAAGGCGCTGCGGATCCCAAGCAGGACGAGAGGGAGGGCTGCGATCCAGGATGTGCCCTCGTGGCACATGAGAGCTGACTTGAGTTGCCTGTGGAGGCGTTCAACCATGCCGTTGGCGCACGGGTGGTAGCTGCAGGTTCGGTGGCGTTCGCTTCCGCAGACCTCGCCAAGGGCGCGGAAGAGGGCGGATTCGAACTCTCTGCCTTGGTCCGTGGTGATGCATGTCGGCGCGCCGAACCGGGATATCCAGCAGTTGAGCAGGGCCTCCGCGACGTCCTCGGCGGTGTTCCGTTTCAGGGGCCAAACTTCAGGCCATCGTGTGAAACGGTCCACGACAGTGAGGCAGTACTGGTAGGAGTTGGCCGGGGGCATGTAGACGATGTCGATGTGGATGTGCTGGAAACGGCCGGAAGGTGGTTCGAAGGTGCCGGGTGGCGCCTGGGTGTGCCTGGTAATCTTAGAACGCTGGCAGGGCAGGCAGGCGCGGGCCCACGAACGGCAGTCCTGGCGCACGCGCGGCCACACGTAACGCTGGGCGACGAGCTTGGCCGACGCCCTGATGCTGGGATGACTGAGGCCGTGCAGGGCGTTGAACACT